GCAACCTGAAACGATCTCTTTGAAAATGTTCGCAATGGTGGCTGAGGCAAACTACTAACGTTCAACTAATCAGTTTCCTAAAGGAAACGATAAAGCACCTGTTATTTTCAAACAACCCGATCCCCCCCGTGGCTCAACTTTAAAAATATCCGAATTCCTTAGACAATCCACGACTAATGTTCGCTAGTTAGGTAAAGGGTTAAACTACCTTGGCGTTTTCAAAAATAGTACATACCACTTTTTTAAGGATTTATTTTGAACTAACGATAATTCGTTTTTGAAAACATTTTTTTGCTAACGATAGAGGCATATATCCTTTTCTTTCTTTTTGAAACATAATATTTTGAGAAATAAATAACAATGGTAATATACACGGAAATTCTTTTTCTCTTTCTTTTGAAGAATAATATTTGGAGAAATAAATATTAATAATATACACAGAAATTTTTTTTCTCTCTTTTTTTTTTAAATAATACTTTGAAAAATAAATAATAGTAGTAATATACGCAGAAATTCGTTTTCTCTTTTGTTTTGAAGTATAATCTTTTGAGAAATAAATAATAACAATATTTTTTTGAAATTGAGAGCAAGCCACAAAGTGATATCTTCTTTTTTTAAGACAATGAAGTATTAATTTATGAAAACAAAAACAAATGGATTTTTTAAATAGGTCAAAGTAGATTAACCCTTTGACTAAAAGAATTAAATGCAAAAATGAGAACATTGCCGAAGGGTGCTTGTAGAAACGATATTAATTGTAATTATTACTCAATCTGCAAGCCGAGAAGTGTGCTACGGGATTCTCAAAGTTCCTTTTCCTCGATTAGCGCGAATATCGTCAGATTGGATGGGCTGCTTCGAACAACGAAGCACAAAAATAGTGCACCGAATGGGAAATGCACCGGCGAGGCAATCGAGAAGAAGTTTCCGTATGATAATTGGAGAGTCGAAATGAGAACTTGTATCACGTGGAATATCGTCTATATGCTTCCCGCGAGAATGGGAAACAGTTTGAACTTCCTAACGAACTTGTTACAAAATAATACATTGTCGAACCGGGCGAAGAACAAAAGAGACGAACGCAGTTTCATTCGTCAGAGTGGAAATTTGATAAAAAGCGAGAACGGGGATAAAGTATGCGCTATCCCGGCACGAAGTTAGGCGTGTCTAATGAAAATTGAGTTCTGTAAAGGGGAGAACGTTTAGTCAACATTGGCTTCGCGGAAACTTCCGAAGACATCTCTTTAACGAGTGCAAATTGGCGTTCACTGGAAAACTGCCAAACGGTCGAATCGTGGTAATAAGATATTCCGGTCCGCTACCCATCGATTGTTGCAAGAAACTCCGAGTGTCTTCCAAGTGCAACACTTCCCTGACAAGGGTCAATTTTCCAGGAATTTCCTTCGATTTCCATTCCTAGACACGAATCTCTCTCTCTCTCTCTCTCTCTCTGTCGTTTACTTTTACACAGGGAAAAAACTGGTCCACTTATCTTGCAACAAATCTGCAATTCTACTATTTCTGTACGATCAGCTGTTGATCGTCGTACCTATCGAATTTTATAATTTAGATCGATATATCCAACGAAAATTTAAATTTTCTTAACTTAATTTAAACTTTTTCCTTTTTTTTTTGTAAGGCCATTATATCGCCGCCATGGAATTTTCTTAGGTTTTCGTTCGACACGAACTTCTGTATAATCAGTTGTTGAACGTCGTACCTGTCGAATTTTATAATTTAGATCAGTTTTTCCAGAAAATTTAAATTTGATAAAAAGAACGTAAGGGTCTTCTCATTTCACAACTTTTCCCCATTTTTCCTTTTTCTTTTTGGAAAACTATTATATGGAATTTCCTTAGATTTTCATTCGGTACACTTCTCATTTCACAACTTTTCCCCGTTATTTTTTTTTTTTTTTGGTCAGTTATATCGTCGCCATGGAATTTCCTTAAATTTTCATTCGACACAAACCTGTGCGATGACCTAATATTAGGAACGAATGAAATCGAGGGAAAACGAGATACACAAGAGAAATTCGTATTAAAGGTAACTTTAATTAGACGAATCCCGGTCAGTACGATAATTTATCCGCTTTATTCTTACCCGTAACTGTACATGGAAAGACAAATAATAATACGGTAACCCTATTTCGAGGTAACGCACACACAGGGTGGAGTTTAAATTGGAAGGTGCCCGAGGGCGTCTCGTATGCAGTTAACGGGGGTTATATCCAAGGCTCGGATATTCCACCTAACCACCGATTGCAGTTAACTTTGCCCACTATCCGGTCTAGAATGTGGGTGGAGTGGTGATGATGTAATGTAGGTTCGAGAACTCATTTTGTATTATCTTTGAAAATAGTGTTACACGTGTGAAATCATTCCATTTATTAGCCACCGCGTCCTATTTGCATGTTAGGTGACTGTAAATAGGAAAGCGCGGATTAGTGGAATTTTGAAATTGTTGAAAAATTTACGATATGCAAATTACGTATAAAAATTTACCCCTACCCCACCGTAGCTATGTAAAACATAATTAAATGGTCTGTTTCACGTGGCACATCCTGTGTATGCGTACCCGGTCATTGAATGACTCGAATCAGCGTATTTGCTGTTGCTATTTGACGTACGCGTGTTCTGGAACGAATGTGGGTCACGTAGGTTTCGAGAATCGACCCACATTCGGCATCCAGAGAACCAATTGACCGATCAATTTCGAAAGTATGTACACTGTATCGAGCACACATTTTGCAAAATTTAATTTCGAAGATAACTTTAGTATTCCTTTGGTTTCAATTCATTACAATTATACGATTATTAGGTAAAGCAAATTTTCCTTGGAACTGATACAATTTTCTGCAACTCTGACTGACTTTGAAGTAAGAAAAAAGCGAAGTTTCAAATTTCCACTAATTCGTATCAAAGAAAACGGCTACACCGCATCATTCGTACACCCTAAAAATTCTCCCGATGGCACATCGAGCGGGGATATATTCTCGTTGGCAAAACGAGCCAAAGCGAGCCACGGCCGGATTCGTTTCGAATCGAATGGGATTTCTCTTTCCGCTTGAGAAACAAATAAAACTTCCGTCGCACTTGGGCAGCTTCCTAAGACCGCTTCCTTCGTCTCGCGTTCCTTTCTTATTTCGAAACTCGCAAGCTTCGCCACGAAGGTTACCGACCCGGACTTAATACGTACACTTATCACGCTGCAATGATCCTGTTAGCAACTTTTTTCCCGCCCTCTTTTCCTCCGGCGTGCAAGCGGCGAGTGGGCCACAGACCGTAAGACAGACAGGGGAGAGAGAAAGACGGTTAAACGGGCGAGCCTTTATTGGCTTTGGAAGCCACGAGAGTGCTCGGACCCGGGCGCGTTCCTCGCGCCGACAGGACAAACTTTGTCGGGAAGCGGATGAGGGGAAAAAAACGCGAATCGCTCTCGTTTCGCGAGAGGTCGACCCTTTGAAATTAACTAACTCGCCGGTGGACGAGTGTTAATTTATTTGAAGGACACAACGACCGTCTCTATGGACCTGAAAATTTCCCTGAAACTCGGCTGGGTTTGTGCGTAGCGTTCGGATAAAATTTCATCCCCTTCAACGGGAATTCGAGGTAGCAATATCGTTGCAATCGTTATTTTAAAGGGCACACCGCCTTGACACGTCTAGAAATAAGTGAAGTTAGCCACTAAATGGAAAGTTTCTTCTCTTTTCAGAGGATATTTTATAACTCCGCCATTTTGCAACATTTCGCTTTTTAAAAATTGGAAAAGAAAGTTGAAAGTTGTATCTATATCCTCGGAAAAAATTGTCATTTTTCGTTGAGTAGATACCTAGGAAAAAATTCCCAAAGTTTACCTCTTTTTGGACACCTCAGGGTGCAAGGTGTTACGTATAGGATTGCATAATAATTGTATCATTAAAATATAGATTGTTTAGTATTCCGAGAGAGTAATTAATCCACTGTAATCCAATTATTCCGTAATTACGTTATAATGTAATAATTGTTCTATTATTGGGCGTTAATTTTAATGCAGTAACGTGTTGCACGAATTATTCCATCAATCGCCCTGTACGATTATCGCGTTACCGCCATTAATATATCGCCGCGAAACACAATTTCACCTGGAAGATTCGGCGGTTCCCATAGTCGGTGTCTCTATCATCGAGGTGATTTTTATTCGAAAACATCGCGATATACGCGTGTACGCAGTTCGGAATCGAGAATTTGAATCAATTAATGAAACAAATCCAATCGAAATTAAATTCTTATTAACTCGGAAGCGTGCATACCAGTTTGTGCGCCGAGACTGTGTTTGCCAGCCATTAAAATCACCGAAAACAATTAAAAACGTGCGCCTGGTTCTCTGTGTATACCTATATATAAATAGCGAGCGGTTGATTTTAATTGCACATCTCGTTCCTCTATTAATCTAGGCGCGTCGGTAATTGAAATAATTATGACGGAACGCAGGCAATCTGGTAATTAAGAGGCGCATCGAAACGAAGACAAAGTGACGCCCGGTTGAGAGAAAGGTGTGACAAATAAAACCGTCTAAATTCGAAACGACGCATTCTCGCGAGAAACGTTGGAACAAACCATAACGATCCCGGTGACAAACAAATTTCCACGGCGAACGACAGCTTTCGCCGCGATACGCGATTTATTTCCCGTGTCTAATGATGCGTGGAACGCTAATTAATTAACCTCCGCGACGCATCTGTCGTTTAAGAACCGGCCAAAGCTACCGTTCCATTCGTCGATAATTACGTGACGAGTTTTAATTAATTCACCGTAATTACGGGCGAACGGTGAACCTCCGATGCGAGAGGTGTTTTTGGATGTGGGAGGAGAGACAGAGGACACTCAGGCACACACATGTGTATGTATGCACACAAGCGCGACGCGTTTGTTCTATGGGAGTTCTATGCTTTTCCTATCCCAATGGGACGCGGGAAGAAGTTTGCAGCGTGACGATAATAAGAAAATTGCGAAACTTACCGACATCCTTGGAACCACCCCACGTTCCCAGTTGCGCTTGCCGTGCTAATCGAGACAAAGCGTCCACGTAGACGCGAGATGCGGCTGCGGCTCCTGGAAAATAATGAAACACAGGGCAAATATAACGAGCGAACAGCAGGTGTATCACGATTTTCTATATTTCCTTTTTTTTTTTTTTCCATCGGTCGCGATAATTCAACGGTTCGCCACACTTTCTCTTTAATTAAAGAGGGTCGTATTGCGCACGGTGTACCGAGATGTATGGAGTCTTAATCGTATGGAAATTTTATTGATTCGCGTGGGAATGGACGGTTTTAATTCACGCTGGGAATTATTTCAACAATCGCCACGTTTTCTTTCCTATACGACTTTCGATTGTATTTTAATTTCTATTTTCTTGCGGAGTGATTAATACCAGTCTTCTCTAAGCGAAGAACAGGTTGTTATCTGGTGTTCTGTTTCTACGTCTTTTTAATCAACGAATGAATGTATACTCGTTTCGATCTGGTTACGGATGGGAAAAGTGTTCGTAGGGAAATATCGTTCAACCCTTTCACTTTCTTTTGTTTCGTTTTGAAATTTGTTTGAAACTGGATTAAGGTGGAAGTGTGCAAAGGTAGAAAATTAAGGATTAAAATCTCAAATAGCAGCGCTTATAATCGCCAAAAACAGTGAAAGGATTGAGTTAATAACCACAAACTTTTCATTGCTATCAAAATTTTCCAATTTTCAACGCCGTTCTCACTTTAATTAACAAATAACGCACAAAATCGCTTATAGTCGTCGAAAGCAGTAGAAGGATTAAATGAATAACCACAAAATTTTCAAATTTTCTCTGCTATACTCTCTTTAATTATGAAATAACGCGCAAAATCGTTCACCTTTCATACCGTACCAGAGAAAAAAAAGCCAAACCAGGCTGACGATGCACGATGGCTGACCGAAGGGGTTGTCGAATAAAAACGCTGTTAGAAGTGGTCTGGTTATCAATAAAGAACGATCATTTCCCGCGAAAGCTCCTCGTTAAAAGCTATGGTGCAGAAAAATTGGGACGGTCCTGGTAGGAACAGCGAGCGGCTGTGGTAGGAGTGGCGAAGGGTGGATCGGTGGAAATTGGCGGTGTGTACCCTGTTTCCTCCAGCAGAGGGAATCCCTCATAAATACACGGGGGTTGCATGGTTGGTAACTGGCTAGCTCGTTGCAGGGAAGAGACGGAGAGCAAAGAAAAAGGGGGGAAAGGAAAAGCTTGGACAACAGTGGTAGGATAGAAACGTGCTGTATCTCGAGGAGGAACGAACTTGTATAAAAGTGTAGGGGTTGTTTTATGGCTAACAGAGAGCGGATCATTCTCCTTCTGTCCTCTCGACATCGGGCTGTGTTCTTCCGGGGGGAAAGTGGACACTTTGGATTTAATTGTAACTACGTGGACGTCCGTGGAACCTCGAATAGAGAGGTTCACCAGCTTTGTTTCAACCGGAGAGAGAATTGGCCCATTTCTCTCTATCAAACTTTCAACTTCTTTAAATTTTATCGATTTCGCGACTGGTGCTCGTTTCAACTATGTTACCTACAAAATCGTGGAGAATAGTTTTCTTGCAATTTAACCCTTCGACAGTTTATCCCCTGTGAGATTCGGCCAAAGCTTCAAATACTTCACTGTTTAACTCAAGAGAGACTTTTAAGAAATTTTTCTTGCAATTTAACCCTTCGACAGTTTATCCCCTGTGAGATTCGGCCAAAGCTTCAAATACTTCACTGTTTAACTCGAGAGAGACTTTTAGGAAGAAAGTTGAAGAGAGACTAGATATTATTCCTGTAATTTAAAAAATTTTTCGTAATTCGTAATTTTATTAAACTCCCAAAGGGTTAATAATTTTTTTATTTCTCATAGAAAATCTTGCAATATTTTTCTTTCGGAGCAATCTTTCTCTACGCAGAGTAGGATAAAATAAATTGGCGAGGATATCCACGGTAAATTTTCCGAATAAAGTCGGCGAGATACACCGGCAATTTTTCTCTTTAAACCGGTTGGTCCAGATTTTCGAACGTGCTGCCAAGGAAGCGAGCTGATCCCGTATCTTGTTCTATCTTTCCGTATTCGTGAAACTCTTTGGCCGAAGGACTTTCCGCTAGGACGGAGGATAAAAGAAGAGAACGACAAGAGACTGATCCCGTCTACCCATTACCTTCTTCTTCAAGAAAATCGCTCGCCCCTCCTATTCACCCCTGTTGAGACAAAAGTAAGGCATTAGACGAGCACCACCGCCGCATACCAATGCGTTAAGCAACCGAAAAGCTCGAGAATTAAGTCGCACGCGCTCTCTACTTTAATCCTTTCCGCTCTTGCTTCAAGAATCGCATTAATTGTGAACACGTCGCGAAATCTGATTCGAAACTTGTTCAAGTATCTGAAAATCTTAAGTCTCTCCACACCTCTCGCGATTTCTCCGTCCATTATCGAGATCAGTCTAAGCGCGAATGAAAATTGACACTTTGCAATTCTGTTCAATTCGTATTTTTACGATAAAAAATTTATTTATGTAAAATATAGCTAAATTCGAATGGAAGGACTATGTGTAAAATATAGCTACTTAGATTACGAAAGACTTCTGAAAATAGTTCTAATCGACAATATTTCTACTCGAAGCTTTTTATTCGGTAATTTATTTTTGTTTAATTTCGAAACGTCGATATTTCGACAATATCGATGTTCGTCGATGTTTGATCGATAACGCCGACATTCGTCGATATTTTATTCCTGTAGGATTTTACTCGGCGAGAAAATTGCGGAAATATTTCGCGAAAGTGTTTCTCCCTGTCGGTCATGTTTGATTCTTGAAGAGTGAGTGAAACTAATTAGTCGCCTTTCGAAAATCACCTACTCGTGTGTGTACCGCGCGGAAATTCAAACGACCTTGGAGCTTATAACCTCGATTGCGGAGTCAAGTTCCGTTCTGTTTCCTGGTCCTTGTCCGAAACGCTTTGCCTGGCGGGGGTGGCAACCCTCGCCACGTTACGGTGTTAATTGTTATTCTCGGTCGTTCTCCGTAATTACACTGCGTTTCACAAGCAAAGGCCTCACTCGACGTCTAGTGTGTCACACCAAGATTCGCTGTTACCATTTCCGTCCCTCGTTTTCGTAGAAGAATTTCAACGGTATGGAATTAATTATCGATCACATTCG